CACTTTTCATTTAAGTTTATGTAGGCATTATGAAAGTTTTCAAACATACAGCAAAATTGAAAGAATTTTATAGTGATATAAATATTTTATATCCAAATACTCACCACTTAGATTTAACTATTAACATTTTACTGAACTTGCTTTATCATCTATTTATCCTTCCATCTGTCCTTTATGTGAGGGATCAGAGTAAAGAAACCTCAAGCTTACGAAAGCCAAAGTTACCAGCTTATGTAATAGGAATTTTTAGTTAGGTATGGTTTGTTTGGTACTTTTCCAGTAAAAAGCATGTGATGCCAAAAGTGATATAAAACTGAGATAGCCAAGTAGAATATATATATATTATGTATACTGTGCTTACTATGTGCCAAGTGCTGTTCCAGGTGATGGGGACAGAGCAGGGAATGAGACCAACAAGGCTTCTGCCCATGAGGCTGGCATGTGCACTCTAAGTTGTGTTAGAAAGTAATGACACTGGCTATTTACATGCGCCTTCATACTTAGGTACTTTGCTGGTAGGTTAGTGTGTTTTCGTTGTTTTTGACTTTATAATGACAAAAATTAAGTATATGAAAGTAGACAAAATAATATAATGAACTTCCCATGGACAGATCCTTCAAGTGACAGTTATGAACTCATCATCAGTCTTGTTTTGTCTATGCCTTCACTATTTCCCTCCCTCTCAGATTATTTTGAAGTAAATCCAAGATACCATATTTCTAATGCAAGTAAATATTTCAGTATGTGTCTCTAAAAGATAAGAATGCTCAAAGTGGGGTGCTTATGTATAAAAGTTTTATTTTAAAGAAAATGTTTTTGTGTTAAGATGAGTGCACAATATATTTTAATGACATTGGAAAATAAATGATTTTAAAGAAACAGTAATCCTCATAGTTTTTAGCCTAATAATGAGGTTAAACATTAGCATGGAAATTTTGACGTAGGTTTATGTATTAAATTAAAACCATCAAACTTGGTGCTTTTAGTTACCAAAATGAAAGCATTTCTCATAACAGGTAGTTAATTAAGTTGGAATTTATAGTAAATTAAGAAATAATTGCTTATTTTGTAACAAAGCAAGCACCATTTCAGATTTTAAAATTGTCAAGCTAATTTGATGTCTCTTAATCTGATCAGATTTTCATTAGCATAAACACAATCCTTATTTCAGAAACTCAGAAGACCTTGTGGTAGTAATTGCCTCACCCCTAAGATGATGACAAATATGAAAGTGTAAATTTCATACAAGTATAACTTTTCAAAAAAATATTTAAGTTCATATGCAAATTTTTGCTTTCTCCATCCTGTCAGAGTAGATAAATGATTAAGTAAAATAGGTTTGATAATTGTGTTTTTTTTTGTTGTTTTTTTTTAAAGATTTTTTTTTTATTGGGGAATTGGGGGGATGGGAACAGTGCTGGGGAATTGGGGGAAGGGAAACAGACAAGTTGCTGTCGTTTTGCTCTTCAGTCTAGTTGTGGAGGACGTTGCTTCACTAGCCCAAGTTGGCACCATCATTGCACTCTTCCCTGGAGAGGCAGATCAGTCGCCGGGTTCTGGACGGCCGCTCACGGTGGCTGCTGGCCGCTCATGCTGGCTGCTGGCTATACACGGTAGCCCATGGCAACCCACTGCAGCAGGGGCTGCAGCCTACACCGTAGCTGGCGACTCACGGCAGCCCAGCTCCAGGTTGAGCTGTTGTTCAGCATCTTAGCTGTAGAGGGCAGTGTCACTGGCCCTCATATGTGGGCTCGTAGAGGGCAGTGTCACTGGCCCTCATATGTGGGCTCATAGAGGGCAGTGTCAGTGGCCCTCATATGTGGGATCCGAACCGGGGTCCTCTGGCGTCCCAAGCCAGTTCTTAACCATTGCGCCACTCGGCCGGCCCAATAATTGTGTTTTTAATGAGCTACATAATACATTTTATTTTTGGTCTGACTGCTCATACCATTAATACTAACTTTGGGGGAGCAAATCTGATAGATTCTACACATATTTTTGGAAATTCTAGTAACATACACAGAAAATTTATAATGGTATAAATATGCATCAGTTGTATTAGTTTGATCTACTCTGATCTTTTTAATTAATAGTGATATTATAGATATTTCATAATGAACAGAAGCGGGGCCGGCGGAGTGGCTCAGTTGGTTAAGAGCATGAACTCGGAGCAGCAGCATCGCCGGTTCCATTCCCACATGGGCCAGTGAGCTGCGCCCGAGCTGAGCTGCCGCTGAGCTGCTCAACTGGTGAGGTCACGTGCTCCTAACAACAAGGTTGCCACATGGGATGGTGGGCTATGCCCACCCGCAACAAAATTGAACATGGCACCTTGAGTTGAGCTGCTCCGAGCTGCCGACGGGCGGCTGGATGGTGACTGGATTTGGAGCTGAGCTAGCTCTGCCCTCCACAACTAAGATTGAAGGACGGCAACTTGGCTGTTCCCCTTCCCAAATTCCTCAATAAAATCTTAAAAAAATAATAATAATGAACAGAAGCAATGAAAATTGATTTCTTTGAGGTAAATTGAGATTTTACATCCAAACTCAAGGTTTAAAATGCCCTCATTTTAAATAATAGACACATTTTAATTTCATTGAGTTCATTTTTTAGTTAATTGAAAATGATCCTCTTATCCTTAAAAACCTTTTAAGATATACTTTATAAGTTATAGTTTTTATTTTTGGTTTGTATGTAATGGTGCCATTGTTTTTTAAGCTATTTTTAAAATGGAGGTTCCAAGCATATCAATACCTGAAGCCTTGTGTAGTTTTTTTAACATGTTTATAGCTCAATGTAAGATTTATACAAGAATTTCAAATAGTGATTGAATTTCCATTCAGGTCTGGAATTGCAGGTAATATAAAATACGGCTTGAACTTTCTCAATAATATAAGCTTTTGGAAGAGGAATTTTGAAATGTTTGCCCTTGTCATGGATTTTATTGGAAAGAAAAAGAAATCTGTTACTAGTATATCTGGGTAAGACACAAACTATCTGAAAATACAGTCTTGCTTTGTCACAACTCCTACAGTCATCTTCATTTCCTGAAATCTTTTCATATAATCAGGGAGTCTTTAAGATTAGATGCCCACAGAGCAGAAATGGTATAATGTGCTTATACTTAAACACTTATTTTCTACACAAGAGCTGTCACTAGGAGGTTTTTTTTCATTTATTATTGTTTGGTAAAAATAGTTTGTTAACTATATAGCTAAATGTGATTTGAGTTTTAGTTCATTGACAGTTTTACCATATAAAATTTTAAATCCTAAAATAGCTTTCAAGTAACTGGGGGAGTTGAACAAAGGAACAGCCTGCTTGGTAAAGTAAGAAGCTCTCTTTTTATTCATAGAAGTGTTTAGATAACACACTCATTCCACCATCCCTCTAAGCATGTATTACAAACATTGTGGAATGGAATTTTATGGTTTCTTGGAAATGGAGAAATCAGTGATTCTCCTTCTATAATAAATTTTGAATTAAAGTTTTTAAGTAACAAATTTTGAATTAGAAAATGCTATAAATTCTGATGTGGCTAATTTTGGCTTAATGCCTTTTTTTTTTAGAAGCTCAGTAATTGCTTAAATTTAATTGAAATCTCTGAAAGATAGTGTTTAGAAGAGTCAGTAAATTTATTTGTGTGCTATATGTTATATAAACATAAAATATATCTTACAATTTAATATCTAACATACTAAAGAAGGAAACCACCCTATTATCCCCATGGAAAATAGTTAAGTAGATAATTTCAGCTGTCAAGTAGATATGAACTATTGATTTTATTTTTTCCCAGCACATTGACAGATTTCCTACCCATTGGGAAGTTTTAATAGGATGTAATAATTTATTAACTGAATAGTTTATTATTTATTAATGCTAAGAAGTAATTTAAGGAAATACACTTTGAGGAATTTAGTGTTTGTTTCACTTAGACTTGCAAAAGTAGCAATCAAAATAACATTTTTTTGAGCACTTAGTTTATGCTACTGTGCTAAATGCTTTACAATCGTTTTTTGTTTAGCCCTCAAAATAACCCCATGAGGTACGTGTTAGTATTAATCTCATTTCACAGGTAATGAAACTGAGGCTCAGTATGGTAAAATATACAGCTTTGACTGTTGGGCTTTATGTTTTGGTTTTTTATTTCGTTATGTTAGTTGACTCATATTGATCATGTCTTATACCTTGACAGCTTGCCAGCTTCTTTCACGTATAACTCATCTGGTATTGATAGAAAGTTAGCACGAGTTCTCAAGACCAGCTCATTTATAGATATGTGCTCTGTATCTCTCTAGTTCTTACTGTTGATCATCATTTTTGTTCTGTTACTTCACAGCAGCTACTCATCTAAATCAAGTGTTGTTCTCCTTTTGTCCAATTTCCCAAGCCCCACATTAACATAATACTTTGAAAATTTGTACAAATTTTATATTGAGTTTTATTTTGCTTCCAAACCGATGAAGTCTGACTCACCTCTGTCTAGGGCTGTGGAGAAATAGCAAAATGTTTCCTCATAATCTCCCCATCTCAGTATTACCTCCCTATTTGCTGTTGCTTATGTGTAAAAATCTTGTACTACTTCTGAACAGTATACTTCAACAGTAGACCAAAGATGTGGGCTATCTTAAATGATTTTCTAAAATTTCTAGACAACTAGGCTTAGAGCTACTGTAACACTCTTTCTGTAGTTTATTTTTTATTAAAACAATAATATTGTTATCTTTTCTTTTACTTATGATTGGTTTTCTGCATTACTTCATGATATTTTAGTAAACACCTGGCTTTCTTCATTGAACAATTTTATTTCCTTTAATCCATGTGAAGACCTTACTATTAGTTATAGTCATGTTATTTCATGAATGCATTTTTGTTTGTTTATACATTTACTCTCTTTGATTAAGGATAAGAACTCCTGTGCTTTAAAAAAAAAAAAACAACTTTCCAAAACCAAGTAGAGAAATCAGTGATTTTTATATATTTCTTTTTGTCTGTTTTAGGATGGCTACCATAGAGTAGTTAATATTGTGCCAAAGAAACCACCACTCCTAGACAGACCTGGTGAAGGAAGCTACAATAGATATTGCAGTCATGTTGCTTACCGAGACTATGACGAGGGCCGCAGTTTTTCTCATGATCGAAGAAGTGGTCCACCTCACAGAGGAGTATGTAAATTTCCCCCATGTACTAATTGTTATTTTTTCATAAGTTTAAGAATTATGTAATTTTTGAAATTTATGTGACTGGCCATTAAGGCAGTTAAATAAATACTTCCTGCTTGATGCTCTGTTGAAATGCCTACTGGAGCTGTCAAATGGGAACTGGTAGTCAAGAATTTTGGGGTGCTGGACAGAGTGAATAAGCACTCTGGATAGCTCTATCTAAATGACATTAATTTATTCCCAAATTGGCAGGGATTTGCTGAAGCAGTTAAAGGTAATCTATTTATTGCCTTGGTACTCAGTAAGTGATAAGCAGGTGGTTACCATCTCTTACTGATGTGCCCACTTGTAATTATTTTGATTATTTTTGTCATGATGAAATGCTGTGGACAAGGTTGGGTTAAGGTTGTTGAGACTTCATTTCATTTTTGTTATTAAAGCCTACTTACTTAGATTAGAAAGCACTCAAAACATTGCCTGCCCTATAGTAAGCCCTTATGACATGTTAGCTACTATCATTACTATTGCTATTATATTATTTTCTCTTGATCATCTTTAATAATCTAAAAGTATGTATTTAATGTTGCAGTAATTTGTCATTGAACTTGATTGAAACTATTCCTTGATTCAATTCCTTTGACCTAGCTTGCATTTTTACAACATTCCTCTGCTAGGCCATTTTCCTACATTTTCTCTTTTTACCCCTTCCCTAGTATATAATATTGTCATTGACAATGCATATTCAAGCATTATTTAACATAACATTTGACCTCACATAAGCTGTTGGAATTAGTTTTCATACTTTACCTTTGAAGATATGGAAGTAAGGTGATTTACTGAGGGTGGGTATGTGTGGGTGTCCAGATCTCTTACTACTATATCATGATGACCTTGACAATCCTATAGTGGTAATGAGACTATTCAGTGTTTTCTTGTGTTTGTTTTTAAAGTTTGGGGTGTTACAGCTTCCTTCTCATAGATTTAATTTTTATTTTGCTTAATTTTTAAACGTCATACTGTTCCTTCAGGAAGATGGATTCAGTGTTGAGAAGTAAGCATTGTGCATTATCCCTATTCTAAAAATATTGGATTTTGCCATCAGAGCTCCTCTTACAGGTTGTCTCAGGAAGAAATAATTTGGCCTTTGCATAAAGTTGTTATCTGTGAAAACCCTGTGGCCCTTTAGTGTAGAGAGGAATTTTGGATTCATTGGACCGATTGTATTTGAATCCTCACAGACATGATTTTTTTCCTAAAGCCTTGTGGCATAAAAGTTCCTCAACAGGGGCCGGCCGAGTGGCTCAGTTGGTTAAGAGCTCGCACAAGAGTGTGAGCTCTGAGCAACAGTGGTTCAATGCCCAGCCCGAGCTGAGTTGCCGCTGAGCTGCCAACAGGTAGCAGGATGGCTCAGCTAAAGGAAAAAAAAAAAAATTTATATTTTTATAAATTGTGTTTGTTCATACTGTATACAACATTTTCTCTTTAAAACCCATTTGGTATCCTTAGGACTCTTCATGACACTAATTCTTAACTAGAGTTCAGTTCTATAAAGCAATTTTCTTATTATAGCTGTTGATATTTTTCTTTTGTTTATTTATATTTAGTGTTTGAAGGAAAATGAATGTATTTTACTTATGTAAGAGTAGGCTATGCGATGCTAAAGAGGGAGATGAAAATAGTATTTATTTTAGCTGAATCAGTGTTTGATTGTAAGTAAGTCACATGTTATATTGTTCTGTATATAATTTTAAAGTAATTGGGTATGGATTAATGTGTAGTTCCTTGTTATGCCCCTTTTCAAATGTGTCTGTCTTAGAAGACAAAATGTGCTTGCTGTCTTCGATTAATTTTCAACGTAGTGCCACATTTTGCTCTAATACAGCTTATCAGTAAGTGATGGTTTCTTATATTGTTTCCAATTAAGGTTTTTAATGGGAGGTAAGGTGAGAAAAAAAACTTGAATGAGAAAAGGGGGAAAGCAGCTAATTCTTCATTGAGCTTAAACCTGAAAATTGGTGAGAGAACTTGCCATGTGAAGAATAAGATGAAAGGTCAAAAAATGTATGCTGGATTAAATTTAAATCAAGTCTTTGTTCTTTAACAGCCCTTAGCTTTTGTTATGTTAGAGTATGTGTCTTTGGCAATAAGGCTGTTAGAGCCTACCAAAGAAATAATTAAAGCATTTTCATAGAGATAAATGGTACAAACTACAGGTTCCTGTTTACTATTAATAAATTAGTGTTGAAATGCATGATTTATATCTGTTTTATTTTATGCCTTTTAAACTCCGAGAAATTTAGAATGGTATTTTTGCCCTTATATTATTTTGGCCTTAGAGACTAGTTTCCAGTAGTATGGTTCAATATATACTACTTGACCAAAATAATGTAATCAAATATCTAATTATGTTTTTTAATATTTTACAGGATGAACCTAGCTATAAGTGGACAAGAGATGATCATTCTACAAGTCGTCAGCCTGAATACAGGTAAAAAGATGAAAATAATAATGTAACTGCTTTGCTACTTGACTCGCTGGGACATCTGATGTTAAAATCTAACATCAAGGCACATAGATGAGATATTTTTATTAGGATT